GCAACAAGCACCACTCAATTTGACCCCTCCACGCTGAGAAAAATTCGCTGAAAGTGGTACGCGGGAAGCGATTTGTTACGCGCGGACGACTTCTTCGGTCTCCCCCTTACGCGTTTGAACATGTTCCTCCACTTGGCATCCACCTCCGCTCTGTTGCTGCCACTGTGGCTGAGGCTGAAGTTGGTAAGCATAGCTCGTCCATGTTGCTTCCGCGGGGCCTCCAGAAAACGGAATTTTTGGGGATTTCGTGCGATAAGCCCATACAATGCTAGACAGCGTCCGACAGGCTTGCAAAATGCAAAAATTTCGGCAACTAGATTTTGGTGAGACACTGTCTTTAAACGCAACCAGCATATCAAGAGTGAAGCTGTGAGATTAACATTTATTAAACGCTCCACCAACATTAATCCCAATTCAAACAAGCACTTCAACTAAAATTACTGGGCTGTTGCTCAATCTCTTTTTTTTCTCAGTTCAGATTTGATTCACAAACTCTTTGTAGAGGTTCACGGCGAACATAATGAATTAGTTACAAATACAAATTCTTGATGATAACATGTGTGCCTAAAAATCAAAGCAGTAAGCGAGAGAGGCTTGTTTTGAAGGTCGTCTAGAATAACTTCTGATCTCTCAAGTAGGATAACGCAACTCTGTCGTTGTGGTGCTAGTAATGCACACAATTCATACTCGACTATGTATGCTCATAAAGTACGAAAATGTTACGCTGAGATATGCTGTAATTGTTGGAACCACACGGTGTAAAAATTCTTCTAGCTCCAAAGCAGCGAAATAGTTTGCAAAAATCTGTACGTTGTACAAAGTTTTCTGAGTAAGGTGCCTTTACTTTCCAGGCTCACAAGGACAGTGCGGTGGAGACAAGGTATGAATTTGAGTTTATAATCAATTTTACTCTTGGTAGAATGTCGTAAGCTGATTGGGTCTTTGAAATCCAAATTTTTTCTTTCAAGCTCACGCTTCGATCACCCAAACTGTTGGTAAAATTATATCGTTTTCGAGTCAGCTAGATCGCTGCGAAAGACCTCATTTAATAACTGATACATAGCAGTATGAGTATGAAAAGTGAGCAAAAAAATAGGTCTTTTTTCTATATGAGTGCTATGATTTGGCTAATGCAACTATTTTACACTTCATGGATGTATTCGCAAAATCTTCCACAGCTTTGGAATAATAGTTAGCAATCCCTGGTATATCTGTATTTTTCAGACAATCCAGCTCCAAAATACCTCTTTATGACTACTGAGGTGGCACTGCTTAGATATTGACCGTAAGTACTATGTTTCGATTTTCAGGTAGATTTGTAAGTCAGTGATCTCAACAATTCCTTGAAATGGTTACTTTCTTCTGTTGTCTTTTGTCTTTCTTTTCGTCTTTGCCTCGTCCCTGTCTTTCTGCTCTGCAATATACCAAATAAAAACGATGACATGGACATCGCAAATTTTATGGGCTTTCATTCCTCCTTTGCAAAAAACGGAAAGTGTGACTTATCTTTGCTGTTCATATACCACATTCACAGAGCTGTTCCCAATTCTTGCTTTTTCCGGAATAGCAAAGCACAAGCCTTAACTTTGCATAAATCTAATTGCTTTATATTACATAAGACTTGAATTATTAACCGACACCTTTCAGTGGTAAAATGATTTGATCAGGCGCTAGGACATCATGGGCCTTCATCCCTTGTAGTAACATTCAACAAAAAAAATTTTTACAGGCGTTTTTCACAAAAAATTAAGAAATCCCTACCACAAAACTATGTGAGTTTTCCTATCAGCAGAGCCGTCCGCCTCATATCAATTCTTAAGGAATGTATGACTTGGAAAAAACGCCTCTCATCATACATAGAGACACTTGTTATGAACGGCCCCTTAATAGCACTCCAATTTGTCCGTATCAAAATTCAATTCGCTTTTGCCTTGCAAAAGCAAGCCCATCAAAACCCTTGTATTTCGCATAATTCTTCATCGTTTAAATCTTCAATAAATACATGTGAGAGGAGCTCCGAAAAAATTTGGCATCCGGGACTAGCTCCATATTTTTGTTTCCGCCAAGCTCTGTTTATATGGATGTGCCTTTAGTACCGATGGGGACGTTATCAGATCTTACATCATATTTTCAATAGTATTGATAAACGTCAGAATATTTGGCCTCTTACTTGTCCAAGACTGCTGTTATAACTCAAAGGCCACCTTTGCAAAGTGAGATTCGAGCTTTTGTATCTCTCAATCAACAGAAATGGTTGAAATGTCAAAAAAATTGTTGTTACCAAAACATTTGCCTTCGGTCGTATAGACATAACATTTGAGGAGCATGGCATGTTTACTGTGATAGAGTGTGGTAAGAGTCATTTTCATATACATACGTGATAGCAGTTGTCACTTTTTCCGGTTACTTCGCTATGTGCTTATCAATCCCCACAGATTCTATCTATTTTTAATAGCATATTCGTAATATACACGAATTATTAGTAACTTGGATTTGCTCCAGATCGATTGGCCGGAGCTAGCAAATGTTGAGAAAGCGCTCAACATCTCGGTCGCCTCGAGAGCTTCTTGAGAAGTTTTTTGATCAAGCTGATTTTTTTGTCGGAAAAGGCGTACGTTACGCAGGTTTATAGCCTAGTTTTGTGATCTACATAAGTCGGTTTAGATATGATGTATTTGCAGCTGCCTTTCTAATCGGTGTTACCACGGTGGTCATTATCATCGCAATTGTTTCAATAACACGTTCAAAAAGCTCAGGTTAGATTGTTGTGTTTTTTATGATTTCAACGATTTACTCTAAAGAATTTGATGAAATTGTTAATAACTTTTACCGAGAAACGTACTCGAGCTCGAAATTTTTAGTGATATAATTGTACATGCTTTTGAAGTTTTTGCAAAAGCCACTCTTTTCTGAACTTAAGACTGATTTTTGCCCTGTGACTCAACAATTTTTCCATTTTCATTCCATGTAACCGTACCTCCAAACGGTAGTTAGCACGAATGTTGGTTTTCCGTTTGCCTTACTGTCATTTGGCGTTATGTTGGGAAGAATTTTGTTGCCGCATCTTTGCCGGAATTGGGGCATCTTGCTTTTGTCAAATTATTGATCTATGTGGCTCCAATCTTATCATGCTTACAAAAACGCGTTTTTCACTGTTATTTCACAATTTAAAAAAAAACCTGCAGAATGACCGGGCTGCTTACAGGGGAGCCGCACGGAACAGCGCGCTGATGTGTCACGGAACATGTCTAACAAAAGCTACCTCCGATTATAGTGTTTTTCCATAAATCTACAGAAGGCACTTCGTCGAATAACTTTTAGAAATTATAGGACTGCTTTTGATTATTTAATTGATACCTTTTTTCTTTTCATCCATAGCCATTCAGAAAATTACAAGACAGTTCCACCAACCTTTGCGACGACACAGTCTTCAGGTGATTTGGAGCTAACTTCCCGATTTTAATAATCCACGGAAGGACCTTTTTTACAACAAACAGATCCTCTGGGAAAGCTCAAGTTTGTCTTTTGAAGTGTGTGATATAGATTGCAGCTGCTCATCCAAAGGGTTACCACTTTTTTTATCAAAACCTCTAGGCTTACTTGATTTTTCAAGAAATTGATAACAAAAAAAACAGGATTCAGCGAAAATGTTGAAGATAACTCAATCAACTCTATTCATATCAGGTTGTCCCATAAGTTCCGTCCGAATTTGACCGCTTTGTATTTTTTTTAAATTACTTCTTTTATTCAACTGCTTAGTAAATGATATATTCACCGTTATTATCAAGGACCGAAAGCCACTTAGTGGGTAAGCTTTCAATGCCTCGGCTCCAGAAGGAGAGAGGCTGTGAGTTGAAAAAAGTCGAAAGGTCAGATTTGAGTGCTTCATAATCTTCGAATTTTTTCTCGCGCAGGTAAAATTTCAAAGCTCGGAAAAGATGGTAATCCGACGGCGCAAGGTCCGGGCTATAAGGCGGGTGGGGTACCGTTGTCCATCCGAGCTTCTCCAGAAAATCGCGAGTGGACTTCGCCGTGTGAGGCCGCGCGTTGTCATGCAAGAGCGCGACTTCCAATGGTTTTGGACGCTTTTTTTTACAGTATCAGCTAACTTTTGGAGCTGCTCCACGTAGATGTCGGCGTTGATCGTGCGGTTGTGCCTGAGTAACTCCCAAAACAGCATGCCTTCAGCGTCCCAAAAAACACTGAGGAGAATCTTGCGACGGTGGAGCCCAGGTTTCGGCTGCGCTGGCGGTGTTTCCCATAAGGGAGTCCAATAGGCGCGACGTGTGGTGTTTTCGTAGTACACCCAGGATTCATCTCCAGTAACAATTGAGGCGAGAAAGTCCTTTCTGTGAGGACGGAGGAGAAGAATTTGGGCAATGCTGACTCGTACAGCACGATCGTTTTCGGTCAAATCGTGCGGCGTCCATCTTGGCAGAACTTTCCGAAAGCCAATGGAGTGCAGGTGTCGATCTATGGCGCTATGAGAAGCTCCAAGCGTCCTCTCCAAATCCCGCGTAGAAGCATCCGGGTGCTTGTCCAGCTCGCGTCGTAAAGCGTCATCATCGAAGGTGACAGGTCGACCGGTGCGTGGTGTATCTTCGAAACTTGTCTCTCCGTTGTCAAAGCGTCTGTACCATACACGAACGGTGTGATCGGTAATAGTGCCCGGCCCAAATGCGATGTTGATCTTGGTTGCCGTCTCTTGCGCTTTGGTGCCCTTCTGGTGCTCGTAGAAAATAATCGCACGAATATGAGACTTCTCCATTTTGACTCAATCTAATTTACTTCAAGCCGCTACGAGCTTATACACATATAGCATTGAAGCTTTGGCAGCCCTCTACACTGTACACACACTTTCCCCCAAATTCGCTGGAAGCTAAAAGAGAAATCGAGAAACATTTAAATTCGGACGGAACTTATGGGACAACCTGATAGTTCTCCTTTCATACAAAGGAATAAGTACTACTACTGTGAGTACAACGACTACTGGAAGCAGAATGACTACGAGCAGTCCCTCAAGTCCAAAGAACACTTCGACTACTAAAACAAGCATGAGAGCCAGCACAATAGCGACTACCACGATTCATGCATCGAGAACTACTCTCACGAATAATTCCACTGCGCGGAGCAGTACATCTGCTTTGATTCCAACAACAGCTAAGAGCACAACCAATGCAACAAAACCCGTAACCACGACAAAGCCACCAGGTTGGTACATTTGAGATTTGAATTATTTTCATCCCCCCCGCTTGTAATGCGTCAGAGTGCGCTTTTACCATAGATTTAAATCCAAAATGAATTCCAAAATCATTCTCCGTCCTGCGATTATGAATTCAACACCAAGTGTACGTCAAATACCTGATCAATAACTGAGAATTCGTGCATATGTTTCATAAGCATATCAGTTGAGATTTCATAGGATTAACAAACTATTTATTATGTTATTAAAACTTTTCTAAATGCAAAAATGTTGAGACAGTTTTTTTGCATTTGTTCAGGATTTTTGCTGTTAACTGGTTACTACTAAAGTTATTGTGGTTTTTCTTTTTGATTTTCAGCAACTATAGGAAAATTCTCCAGGATCATATCCAGTCGTAAGAAGTAAGAGACTAACAACACATCTACGTACAATCTATACTTTTTCTTGATCGCTAATAGTAAATAAACCTTGATACAATTGCCCATGCCAGCATTTTGCCAATTGCTCACCACAGCATTTTATAAACAATTGTTGGCAGGTATTTTTTTGCAGATTTTTTGAGGCTCGATTCTGGACTTAACCTCGAAAACTTAACCTCTGAGAGGCCATATTTGAAAGTTCTGTTTTCGGCAGGCTCTAGAATCACTGTTTGACATATAAATGGAGCGCAAAAATTCTCCTAATTTTGGGAAACAAAAATGATAGATTCGAGTTGATTTGAGAGATCGAATTTTGTTTCAAAATGGGCAAGAGCTTTCGTTTCAACCTAATACTTTCTATGTCTAGTAAAAATAAATAGACAACTTATCCTGAATTTTCGCGGATTTTCTTTTGGATGAAAACGAATCAAGGGCTGTAGGTATAGTGTCCCTGACAGAAGTCATTAACTGTCACTTGTTCCTTCTAATGAAATTGTATCCAATGCAACCAGCAATGATATTTGATGAGTGATACCTCTTACTAAGTGCTAATCTACTTTATTTAGCACTGATTCATGATTTGTATTATTTCCGGCGGTATACTTTCTTTAACGTAAATGTATGTAGATAGTTTCAGGTTCATTTGATATACACTGTGCCTTCGCAGCGGACTTGGAAAATTTCAAGATAACTCATACTCATGAGTTAGACAAGGTAAGCTATATTATACACAGCAATGTCGCTAGCAAGTCATTTAAGGTACTGAAAAGACTATTAAGCATTCGACATTTGAAAATGTGCTTCATGTATAATTCTGAAAAACCTACAAATGAAATCTTTTCTTTAGCAGAAAAAATTAATCAAGAATCTTGGCAAAGAAATTATCGACACTAGCTCAAATTCAAGTGCAGGCCTTTGGGCTTACGGTAATGTGAAAGAAGCGATGAAATTTGGGGACGTTTTCGGTGATATGGTGGCTGATTTCTCAAAGTTCAGTATGAAGGCAGAAGATATTTTTACTTCTGGTGACAATCCCTCTCCTCCTGGTGGTGAAAAGTGAGCTTTTGTGACAATTCCGCGAGCAATCCCCAGAATTACTTCAAATTTATTTTTTAGTACCTTACAGCGTTATTGATCACATCAACAATGCAACCGACAAAAACAATACCGCAAACTGTCTGCTATTCTTAACGGGCAGGTGGGTTACAAAGTGCACTTCGTGATGTATACAGGTTCAAGCATCTTAAAGGTTTTTGGATGGGAGTGATAAATCAGTCTCTGTTATGGATGAAAATACGAATGTTTGAAGACTGCAACAGAGATACTTGTTACACATCACCTTCCTAAAAAGCATTTCTCTACACTGCGTATTATGGTTTGTGACCTTGTGCTCGAAGGGAACGTACTAAAAACAACCACTTTTTGTGTACCACATTGTTTTTTTAGCAAAAAGAGTGAAATATCTCAAACACATTTCTGAAAGTAGATTTGAGGAAGGAAGCCGATTACGCTCACAGAAACCATCGTTTTTCGTAACTTGGATGCCATAGTTTTGTTTGAACAGATATTTTCCTGTAAGCCATGAAGTCAGTTTAATTATACAGTCAGAGTAATTATAATAGTTGCAATTAGGTAATGGGAATTGCCAAATTTGTACTTTCGGTAACCCATTCGTTGCTGGCTCTAGCGTGAACTCTTTCAGCATTGCTTTTTTTCCCTTTCCCATTAAAAATGATTTTTCTTTTCTCTAACAGTAGAGTAGTTCAGCAGCGTCACTGATGAAACGATATGAGATTGAATTCACAAACGCAGAGATAGCGAACCAAAACGACCCTTTCTGTTGAATGCTTGAGAGCTTCCAAATCTGGTTCATATGGCAGCGTTACTTCTCATTGAGATAGTATCCCCATCACTTTTTGGCTCTGACACAACATATTTTGTACAGCACTTTGCCTCTGCTGATAAAATCAATTGCCTCACAGTGACATTTTTGACGAAAAAATGGAAAGATCTGAACTTCATGATGACAGCGATATATCGTCACTATGTGAACGAGCTAAAGGTTGTACACAGAAAAGTTACGCGCACTTTTGGGTTATCTCAAAAGCCTCTTTTCAATTTCTCTATCTTTAAAATGATGAAAATAAACCTATAAAAAATTGAGGCGCTCGGATGTCCAAATTTTTTTACTACTAAGCCAAGCCATCGCACAAAGAAAGCACAAAATTTTCTGCACTGAGGTAAGAGGAGTAAAAATTTTCTTGAGTAGTGGAAAGTGAGTAGTGAGCATGGAAATATCCAATGCTTTCAAATTTGGAGAGATGGAAAGGAAGATAATTCGACTTTTGATAATTTTTGACTACAGACAAATCTGAACATGGAAATCCAGTTTAGGAAAGTGTCTAGTAAAGCAGCAGCTTCAAAATAGAAGTTATAAATGCTACTACCTTAAAGGCAGTGTCCGGGCAAAAACTCGATTTTGAGACTTTGCGCTTATACGGACCTATTCGCCATGCTGAATCCGAAAATGCACATCGTAGAGCGCGAAAATGGCGAAAAATGGCTCTAACACAGGAGGGAAATCAGCAGGTGGGCAGAGTCCTCCCCACTGCGAATTTACGTTCCCGACTTCCAGAGCGACCTTCTCGTTTCCGTTTTCAAGTCAATCATTCGCACTTGACCGGTAGCGATGTTAGGACGGCTAGCGGAGTCGAGAAAATCGCTTTGGGAGCTGGGGGCGTGAAATCGAATTGGGGAAAGCCCCGCCCACCTGCTAATTTCCCTCCTTTGTTAGAGCCCTTTCTCGCCATTTTCGCGCCTGTGGATTTTTGGATTCAGCATGGCGGATAGGCCCGTATAAGCACAAAATCTCAAAATTGAGTTTTTGCCCGGACACTGCCTTTAAGGGATGGTCTCATTTTCCAGTGCGGCTTTGCAGTCTAACTTGATTAGACACTTACTAAGCTATGGATCCTTTGATGTACCGCATTAACAAGCGCCACACTCAGCTGGATGGACGGATTTTATCTATGGAAATGTAATTATCCCCATTTGCCTGAAAAAGCCATTCACAACTTCTGTCCGCTTTTTTACGCGCTGCAATCCAGCTCACTTCGTCAAATTTGTTAAACGTATATTTTTACCGTGTCAAGCTTTTCTTCTTTCTTTTTTGCATCATTTTGGATTTGGACATCGAATGAGTGCTGTTCAGATATAAGACGAACGTGTTTGGTGGGCATAGCTGTCACTACATCAAACTTGGAGTTTTTGAAAACCTACCATGTCGCTACTTTTTTTACCTGTACTATTTTGCAGCAAGGAGGAAAAGCCCGTTTGGATGATTGACCCGATTTATAATTACACGAGGATTGTGATCATCAGCTTGCAAGGTAAGCAGGGATCTGGGTCTCAGTGCCTCGTTGTTACAGAACATGTTAACCCACTGAGGACAATGTGGTGCACTCTTGGGACCTTAGGCTCCGTCGTTCAAAAAATGTCTATAGTTGCAACAAAACAACCTTGCAATTTTTCAAATAACCACACGCGCGTCACACAGCGCCGCCACGCAAAATTAGGCGTCGCCGTCAATGGGTTAAGGAAGAGAGAATAGCTTTAACGTGCATCAGATAGCCTTGTTGTGTCAATGTGAGGCATGATTATTCGTGCATCTCATCTACACGTCTATAAATTCGATGCACAATGTGCGGATTTTGATTTCTTGAAAGTCTCTCACGGAAACACAAACTCATAAACATAAGTAATTAAAAGAATTTTCTCCTAACAGTTCGATTGGTTACCAAATTTTGAGCTACGACAATTAAGAAATCCAGTGCACATTCATCACTGATCTTTTCATTTTTCTAGCGGCTAGATTCAGAGCCGGTTTGGACTATTACTAGGAGAAAAAACAAAAATTTGCGTTGCCTTTATTGTCTTCATGTAAATGACGCTGCAAAATTGGCCTTAGAATTTGAAAGTAATGGGGCTGATGGTCAGCAGCACGCATTCATTGTCATGCCTTCCCCCTGGCCATTTTTTTATGTTAAACTTTGGAACAACGGAAATTAGTTAGATTGAGAAAAACGCTTTGCTAAAAGCTTTTGCTCACCACGTATGTAAGATGCACAATAATTCCAGGTGCCGATTTTACCAACAACGTTAATACTACAAGAGGCTTTTCCCGGAACGTACACCTCGAGCATTTCAATGAGTCTGACATCCAAGCTGTATACGATGAAATCATGCGGGGCTTCAAGAGGAGTTGGACTTACACGTACTTGAACGAATACATTGAGTACCAGTATGTCTAGAATTTATAATGCCCTTTTGTATTTTAAGATTGTCACAATATCGTTTCGAAACTTCTAAGCTGCTACTGCGTATTGAGTATCATTTTGAAAACTGGAGCTTTCATTGTTCACTTTTCAAAGGTCAACGGCCAAAGAATAGGTTTTGTGCTTGAGGCAACTGTAATCCTTATCTTTCTCCAGCGTTTCACCGTTGATTATTTTATCTAGTAACTATGCATTTAGTGCTTGAAATAAGACACCTATACGATACGTGTATGTGTGCTCACTGTTGGAGTTGAAGATTCGCCATATAGTCGGCGTATAAAACGTTCTGCTTTAGTTTTCTTTCGACACTTACTCATGCAATTTTTTATGTGCTCCATAGTTGTTTCATTTATTGAGTCTCCGCAAAAAGTGTAGCTTTTGGACTCAATTACGATAGACAAGCTACTTGGATCGCATTCATTGCGCATCACTAGCTGCCGCCTTTCAAAGATTTTTTGTTTATTCGCATGATTCGCCACAAATTTCAGCCATTCTTTTTTCCTTGTTCGATTTTAATCAATTTCAAACATGTGCTAATTCTTGGAAGAGACTTTGTAAGAGACAGAACAGCTTAAATAGTGCAATGCTTTTTTCCGCAATTGTTCCACTATGGTTTTTTAAACTTCGCATCTTGCCAAAAAAATAGAGTGATACATCACAATAACCAAAAAGCTTTGGATTTCGAAGTATTGGAACTTCATTACCGGTAAACTGCTCTACATAGTAACAAATTAGCGCTCAGCGCATCTTCGCAAATCCTTAAGAGGCGGATGATGCACGAGGAAAGGCATGGAGTCGTAAGTGGGGAAGCGAAACAATTAGTTTCATAGTTTTCCGTCTTAACAAATAATCACGATAAGGCAATCCAACATCATCATGAGGAATGGCAACAAGGACGGCATCGTCTTAAAGTTGAGTAGAAGCCTACACAACTGTGTAGCAATGGGACCTATTACGATAGAACAGGACAGTTGGGAAAACTGTCAACGATCACAGCACAGTCAACAGAGCATGAGCAGCAGCTCAATAACCAATTAACAATACAAATTTTTGTGCAAAAGTTCCAGGCACGCAAAAAAACAGCAGGGCCGGTAGTAATCCCCCGACCTGGCGGCAGGTCTCGTCGGCAGGTCGCTGGCACCTTTTCCGTGAGGTGGCCAGAAAGCGAGACCCCAAATTTAGGCCGTCCCAGGCCTTTTTCCAAAATATTTTCTCGATAAAGATGCCGCCCCGACTCTGTAGAAAACTCCATAAAAGTCTGCGGTTCCAGAATTCCTCCTTTAGGAAAATATCTGGAAGCGCAGGAGGAGTTGCCGGCAACTTCGCGATGTCAGTTGCCGGCAATCTGCCGGCAGCTCGTCGAAATCCGCGAGATGGCAGCTGCCGGCAGGTCAGAGAGCACGGGAAATAGCATGCTCTTTTGAGAGAGGGAGCTGCCGGCATCTCGACGTGCCCCTACCACGTCGAGGTGGTGGCACCTTTGCCGACGGCGTCTGTGAGTTTGCGAGTTGCGGCGAACTCACACAATTTACGTCAGGCGAAAAAAACCAAAAACCCTACTTTCTATCAAAAAACTATCATTTTTCTCATTATATGAATTTTTCTTTTCTAAAACGACGATTTTCTCACAGAGAAACAATCTAGTCATGCTTCAGAACCATAAAGAACACTATCTTTTTTGGCAATTCCTTCTAAATCTCGTTTGCACCGATTTCGCCCCTTTCTTGCTCATATCAATCAGCTGTTCTTTCAGGTCAAAGTCTCTCACGCAATGTATTGATCCCTCTTACAGGCGGCCACTTACCGGTGCGTTCCTCCTATTGCTGGTGCAATCGGTAATGGTTGACCGTATGGTCGAATGGTTAACGGGGTGGCACTTGAAGTTAACGCACTTAGGTTCGGCCGGGCGCGAGGTAGCAGTTTTGCGGCTGTGTGCGTCATCAAAATTTGATGTGCAAAATGATTGCGCACTAAGGTTACATAAGATTATTACAACCTACAATTACTCCACAAGCTGCCGCCGATGACGGCAACTTCCCCGCAATGTGTGCCTACCTGCCGGCATCTTTGAAGCCACCAGGTAGGGTAGATTACTACCGGCCCAGAAGACTGCAACATAAGGGAGAGCAAAAGTCCTAATGGACCTTAAACCAATGGCTTAAAGGCACCGTCCACCCAAATCCTGGAATTCCATGTTTTTGTCGCTTCCAGGCCTTCTGAAGGTCCTGATTTCGAATACAATGTCGAGAATCTTCGAACTCCCCCCCCCCTCCAAAACCCCCGCTTTGGGGAAGGGTGCAATGCAGATCGCGGGGCTGCGGGCGCGGTTATACGCCGAGCGCGTCATTTGCAAAGCTGCAAAGTGGGCGAGGCATTTTTGATATTCTGCACACCCAGGTAGGCGGAGTGACTAGCATCGGATTACGTCCCTTTCGGAGCGGATTTCTTGCTCCGAAAGCAGTCTTCTGCTGCGCAACTTGGGGGTTTGAATAGTTTGGGGGCCCACGCTAGTATACCATCATAATCTCATCAACCCCAGCTTTGGGTGAACGGTGCCTTCAATGACATCTACAATGTCATCTTACAGGAAGAACACCTAAATCACATGCTTTCATGCAAAGAGCAATTTTGATGCTCTGCAGAGAGCTCTACTGAATGAAAAGGAATTTGGAAGGCAGGAGCCTCTTGCGAATGCTGCGAAAATAGAGGGCACAGACGGCATTGACGTCTCACGAAAGTGAGACGAAAAATTTTTTAACGACTAAGCGAGAAAAGACTTCTTTAAAATATATTCCCAAACCATTTGGTCATACAAATATAAATAACAGCAGATACATTCCAGAGCAACTTAACCTCATACTTAGGAAGTCTTATAAAAATTGCGTTAAGGCGTAGGTTCAGAAACATAGCAAATTTTCTCTCTTGTAAAATAAATTACTGAATAATTACTGGTAAGTGATAAACAATTAATAAAATTATATCGTAAGAAAGCCTTAATAAATCTAGCAGTTCTGCTCTAGCAAAGATGGCCATGTGTTGCTTGCATTGAGTAATTTCCGGCAGCTCGTCGATCTGTGCCCTCTATTTTCGCAGCATTCGCAAGAGGCTCCTGCCTTCCAAGTTCCTTTTCATTCAGTGGAGCTCTCTGCAGAACATCAAAATTGCTCTTTGCATGAAAGCATGTGATTTAGGTGTTCTTCCTGTAAGATGAATTGTAGATGTCATTGAAGGCACCGTTCACCCAAAGCTGGGGTTGATGAGATTATGATGGCATACTAGCGTGGGCCCCCAAACTATTCAAACCCCCAAGTTGCGCAGCAGAAGACTGCTTCCGGAGCAAGAAATCCGCTCCGGAAGGGACGTAATCCGATGTTAGTCACTCCGCCTACCTGGGTGTGCAGAATATCAAAAATGCCTCGCCCACTTTGCAGCTTTGCAAATGACGCGCCCGGCATATAAAGGGTCCGCAGGCCCCGCGATCTGCATTGCACCCTTCCCCAAAGCGGGAACCTGTACGGCAAAGAAAAAGACTGAGACTGTCTGTAGCATGCCCAGGTTTCAAGATAGAAGGACTTATAACATAGTGGAACAATTGCGGAAAAAAGCATTGCACTATTTAAGCTGTTCTGTCTCTTACAAAGTCTCTTCCAAGAATTAGCACATGTTTGAAATTGAATAAAATCGAACAAGGAAAAAAGAATGGCTGAAATTTGTAGCGAATGCGAATAAACAAAAAATCTTTGAAAGGCGGCAGCTAGTGATGCGCAATGAATGCGATCCAAGTAGCTTGTCTATCGTAATTGAGTCCAAAAGCTACACTTTTTGCGGAGACTCAATAAATGAAACAACTATGGAGCACATAAAAAATTGCATGAGTAAGTGTCGAAAGAAAACTAAAGCAGAACGTTTTATACGCCGACTATATGGCGAATCTTCAACTCCAACAGTGAGCACACATACACGTATCGTATAGGTGTCTTATTTCAAGCACTAAATGCATAGATACTAGATAAAATAATCAACGGTGAAACGCTGGAGAAAGATAAGGATTACAGTTGCCTCAAGCACAAAACCTATTCTTTGGCCGTTGACCTTTGAAAAGTGAACAATGAAAGCTCCAGTTTTCAAAATGATACTCAATACGCAGTAGCAGCTTAGAAGTTTCGAAACGATATTGTGACAATCTTAAAATACAAAAGGGCATTATAAATTCTAGACATACTGGTACTCAATGTATTCGTTCAAGTACGTGTAAGTCCAACTCCTCTTGAAGCCCCGTATGATTTCATCGTATACAGCTTGGATGTCAGACTCATTGAAATGCTCGAGGTCTACGTTCCGGGAAAAGCCTCTTGTAATATTAACGTTGTTGGTAAAATCGGCACCTGGAATTATTGTGCATCTTACATACGTGGTGAGCAAAAGCTTTTAGCAAAGCGTTTTTCTCAATCTAACTAATTTCCGCTGTTCCAAATTTTAACATAAAAAATGGCCAGGGGGAAGGCATGACAATGAATGCGTGCTGCTGACCATCAGCCCCATTACTTTCAAATTCTAAGGCCAATTTTGCAGCGTCATTTACATGAAGACAATAAAGGCAACGCAAATTTTTGTTTTTTCTCCTAGTAATAGTCCAAACCGGCTCTGAATCTAGCCGCTAGAAAAATGAAAAGATCAGTGATGAATGTGCACTGGATTTCTTAGTTGTCGTAGCTCAAAATTTGGTAACCAATCGAACTGTTAGGAGAAAATTCTTTTAATTACTTATGTTTATGAGTTTGTGTTTCCGTGAGAGACTTTCAAGAAATCAAAATCCGCACATTGTGCATCGAATTTATAGACGTGTAGATGAGATGCACGAATAATCATGCCTCACATTGACACAACAAGGCTATCTGATGCACGTTGAAGCGGTTCTCTCTTCCTTAACCCATTGACGGCGACGCCTAATTTTGCGTGGCGGCGCTGTGTGACGCGCGTGTGGTTATTTGAAAAATTGCAAGGTTGTTTTGTTGCAACTATAGACATTTTTTGAACGACGGAGCCTAAGGTCCCAAGAGTGCATAGAATTGGAAAAAAATATCAATTTTTGGAAGAAACACTAAACCCAGAAAGGACATGTTTTTGCAACATGTGTGGATCACCCGTGGTCCACATCGTCCCTGGTAGCAAAAAAGTGCGTGAGTAACCACATTGTCCTCAGTGGGTTAACATGTTCTGTAACAACGAGGCACTGAGACCCAGATCCCTGCTTACCTTGCAAGCTGATGATCACAATCCTCGTGTAATTATAAATCGGGTCAATCATCCAAACGGGCTTTTCCTCCTTGCTGCAAAATAGTACAGGTAAAAAAAGTAGCGACATGGTGGGTTTTCAAAAACTCCAAGTTTGATGTAGTGACAGCTATGCCCACCAAACACGTTCGTCTTATATTTGAACAGCACTCATTCGATGTCCAAATCCAAAATGATGCAAAAAAGAAAGAAGAAAAGCTTGACACGGTAAAAATATACGTTTAACAAATTTGACGAAGTGAGCTGGATTGCAGCGCGTAAAAAAGCGGACAGAAGTTGTGAATGGCTTTTTCAGGCAAATGGGGATAATTACATTTCCATAGATAAAATCCGTCCATCCAGCTGAGTGTGGCGCTTGTTAATGCGGTACATCAAAGGATCCATAGCTTAGTAAGTGTCTAATCAAGTTAGACTGCAAAGCCGCACTGGAAAATGAGACCATCCCTTAAAGGCAGTGTCCGGGCAAAAACTCAATTTTGAGATTTTGTGCTTATACGGGCCTATTCGCCATGCTGAATCCAAAAATCCACAGGCGCGAAAATGGCGAGAAAGGGCTCTAACAAAGGAGGGAAATTAGCAGGTGGGCGGGGCTTTCCCCAATTCGATTTCACGCCCCCAGCTCCCAAAGCGATTTTCTCGACTCCGCTAGCCGTCCTAACATCGCTACCGGTCAAGTGCGAATGATTGACTTGAAAACGGAAACGAGAAGGTCGCTCTGGAAGTCGGGAACGTAAATTCGCAGTGGGGAGGACTCTGCCCACCTGCTGATTTCCCTCCTGTGTTAGAGCCATTTTTCGCCATTTTCGCGCTCTACGATGTGCATTTTCGGATTCAGCATGGCGAATAGGTCCGTATAAGCGCAAAGTCTCAAAATCGAGTTTTTGCCCGGACACTGCCTTTAAGGTAGTAGCATTTATAACTTCTATTTTGAAGCTGCTGCTTTACTAGACACTTTCCTAAACTGGATTTCCATGTTCAGATTTGTCTGTAGTCAAAAATTATCAAAAGTCGAATTATCTTCCTTTCCATCTCTCCAAATTTGAAAGCATTGGATATTTCCATGCTCACTACTCACTTTCCACTACTCAAGAAAATTTTTACTCCTCTTACCTCAGTGCAGAAAATTTTGTGCTTTCTTTGTGCGATGGCTTGGCTTAGTAGTAAAAAAATTTGGACATCCGAGCGCCTCAATTTTTTATAGGTTTATTTTCATCATTTTAAAGATAGAGAAATTGAAAAGAGGCTTTTGAGATAACCCAAAAGTGCGCGTAACTTTTCTGTGTACAACCTTTAGCTCGTTCACATAGTGACGATATATCGCTGTCATCATGAAGTTCAGATCTTTCCATTTTTTCGTCAAAAATGTCACTGTGAGGCAATTGATTTTATCAGCAGAGGCAAAGTGCTGTACAAAATATGTTGTGTCAGAGCCAAAAAGTGATGGGGATACTATCTCAATGAGAAGTAACGCTGCCATATGAACCAGATTTGGAAGCTCTCAAGCATTCAACAGAAAGGGTCGTTTTGGTTCGCTATCTCTGCGTTTGTGAATTCAATCTCATATCGTTTCATCAGTGACGCTGCTGAACTACTCTACTGTTAGAGAAAAGAAAAATCATTTTTAATGGGAAAGGGAAAAAAAGCAATGCTGAAAGAGTTCACGCTAGAGCCAGCAACGAATGGGTTACCGAAAGTACAAATTTGGCAATTCCCATTACCTAATTGCAACTATTATAATTACTCTGACTGTATAATTAAACTGACTTCATGGCTTACAGGAAAATATCTGTTCAAACAAAACTATGGCATCCAAGTTACGAAAAACGATGGTTTCTGTGAGCGTAATCGGCTTCCTTCCTCAAATCTACTTTCAGAAATGTGTTTGAGATATTTCACTCTTTTTGCTAAAAAAACAATGTGGTACACAAAAAGTGGTTGTTTTTAGTACGTTCCCTTCGAGCACAAGGTCACAAACCATAATACGCAGTGTAGAGAAATGCTTTTTAGGAAGGTGATGTGTAACAAGTATCTCTGTTGCAGTCTTCAAACATTCGTATTTTCATCCATAACAGAGACTGATTTATCACTCCCATCCAAAAACCTTTAAGATGCTTGAACCTGTATACATCACGAAGTGCACTTTGTAACCCACCTGCCCGTTAAGAATAGCAGACAGTTTGCGGTATTGTTTTTGTCGGTTGCATTGTTGATGTGATCAATAACGCTGTAATGTACTAAAAAATAAATTTGAAGTAATTCTGGGGATTGCTCGCGGAATTGTCACAAAAGCTCACTTTTCACCACCAGGAGGAGAGGGATTGTCACCGGAACTAAAAATATCTTCTGCCTTCATACTGAACTTTGAGAAATCAGCCACCATATCACCGAAAACGTCCCCAAATTTCTTCGCTGAAAAGCAGTGGTATCAACGCAGAGTACTACTTGAATTTGAGCTAGTGTCGATAATTTCCTTACCAAGATCCTTGATTAATTTTTTTTGCTAAAGAAAAGATTTTATTAGTAGGTTTTTCAGAATTATACATGAAGCACATGTTCAAATGTCGAATGCTTAATAGTCTTTTCAGTACCGTAAATGCCCTAGCAACGTTGTTGTGTATAGAGCAGCAGCTTACCCTGTCTATTTCAAGATTTGCAGTTTGTTTGAAATTTTCCAAGTCCACTGCGAAGGCACAGTGTATATCAAATGAACCTGAAGCTCTACATACGCATACGTCAAAGGTATACCACGGAATATAAACAAAATCAAAAAGCAGCGCTAAATAAAGCAGATTAGCAATTACTACGAGGTACCACTCAGTGATATCTCTGCTGGTTGCATTTGTGTTATCTGACCTATACCCATAACCCTTGATGCGTTTTCATCTAGGAAAAAATCCGCGAAGAATTGGGACAAGGTGTCTTTTAATTCTGTAGAAGATATTAGGATTTAAGCTCTTGCTTAATTCAAGCAAAATTTGGTCACTTTTGCTTAACTCGGATTTACCATTTTTGTTTACAAAAATAGAAGGAGTTTTTGCTCTCTCTACGTATGTTTAGTAATACTACGAGTCTGCCGAAAATAGAGCTTTCAAATATGGCCTTCCATAAGTTACGGTTTCGAGTTCAGATTCAAATCTACAAAAAATTCCTGCACAACAATTATTCATAAAATGCTGTGGCAAAATCACATCTCGCAAAAAATTCAGCCAGAAACGTTATTTTGTAGGAAAGACTTTATCATTTTCAGTTTTTTCATGAATACACGATCTAACAAAGAACAGAGGAACAGAACAGAGGTACTTGTAAGAACAGAGGTATTAACCTACTGTTACAAAAAAACGATGTGAAGTCCCTTTCTAGACCAATGTTTTTATTGAAGAAGTGCGGTAATTGAGTAGTTTTTCCTGTAAAAAGGTGTTTACGCAAATTTTTTGTTTCTGCATTTCTAAGCGAAATTGAAGCCTGTCACATTGGCTTGTGGAATACTTTCGTGAAAGAATTATTAAAGTCTAAAATTTGGCACTTCGCTGTTTGCTGACATCAAACTCAGAATCGCAAAATTCGAAGCCAATCTTGAAAGCTTCGTCCTTAATGGCTAGCTCATATAAAATTTAGGCCTTAATTTTCGTAGAACACGAACCTTCGACTATCACAAAATGAAGGTCCAGGAATTTGAAGATCTAGATTTCATTTTTATTCGAGTTATGCAAAAACTTTCGTTTCATCTAATAAAAGTATGTTGTTTGTTTGCTGCCACATGTTGCAATTCTTGTGAGAATTGAGCAATGTTATGGTTCTCTTCATGCGCAGTGACCACATAGACAAAGTTGACGCACTGACACATCACCTGAAACCATAAGTTGTGCAAGATAAGCATAAAAATGTACCAGTGTCTTTGTTTGCAGTATAGAACTTAGCTTATTGCTAGTGCATTTGGAAAATGCTAAAGCTGGGTAAGCGGACGACTTAATTTATCACTGACAAAATGTTTTTTCTCAGAGTTGCAAGCAAAACCATTAAGTAATTGTGGGTAGTTGTACTTAGGCTTTATCAGTGATCAAGAAAAGGTAAGTATAAAATATACTAGATGTTCCACGTTCGACTATTTCTGAATCTTGGCATAGTGTCAATTACGATATCTGATGTTAAGCTTTCCAAGATTGATAGTTCCTTTCTTTATCGCCAGTAACAGTTAACAATCAGTACGGTCTACGGCTGAGAGCTCTCAAAGCTCCTTTAGACCTTTTCTCTGTGAGGTTAAGTACCCGACTAGTGTGGCTATAGCGCTTTAGTACAGTGACGACCGATGTGGCAATACTTGAAAAGCAGAGTCGATGGAAGGTATTGGCTCTTCTGGTCTGTAGAACATGGATGGGAACGGTATCGCAGGCAGTGCCACGCTCATTCTTGGTTTAGCTTGTTGTTCTAGCTTTGCTCTGTATCGTAAGCGGTCTTGAACTTGTTGCAAATTGCCTACAATTTTGCGCATAACACCAGGACATATTGATTGCGCAGGCGAAAAGCTTGGTCCTAAACTGAGCAAGGAAAAGGCGTTCTCCGATATGGTTGCGCCGCCAACAATAGTGACTCGCGATTGAATGAATTCATGATTATCAGTATAAACAGCATTTTGTTGGTCTGACAGAAACAGGGTTGGTGGACGACAGTTGAGTTTTGGATGATTGTCTACTTTCTAACAACCTGTCGAATTTTCGTTGTAAGCGTGATTTGGCATTGGAGCGAATTGATTCGCAAATGCTCTTAGACTCACTCACCACTCTTTTTCAAGGCTCTCTGGCAGAAATCGTTTACAATACAACTCTTTAGCTACACATTTCTTAAGTAAAGTATACATGTAATCTTTCTTTGTCTTCAAAGCGATTCTAAGAAGTTGTAGCTCAATTTGTTCTATCCGCTTATCACCCTTTGGAGACCCGCATATCTGGTGTAGTTGTTTGTTTCCAATGAAATTAGGAATTACATGATTGTCCAAACAGCGATGGAGAAACTGAGTGGTCTGCCTCGTGAAAACGATGTTCTGTCTCATTGACAATACTTCCTTCACTAGTCGAAAATATTTCGCTGGTATATAACGCATGATATTCCACGTTCGACTATTTCTGAATCTTGGCATAGTGTCAATTACGATATCTGATGTTAAGCTTTCCAAGATTGATAGTTCCTTCCTTTATTGCCAGTAACAGTTAACAATCAGTACGGTCTACGTTTCGGCGAAGATCGCCTTCTTCAAGACCTGGAAGCGAGTCAACGTGTGCAGTAATTCATTCAAGGGTAGACATACCTTCAACAATACTGTGTAGGGTACGCCCACCACTCTGACAACGTGTCAGAGTGGTGGGCGTACCCTACACAGTATTGTTGAAGGTATGTCTACCCTTGGAGTGAATTACTGCACACTTGACTCGCTTCCAGGTCTTGAAGAAGGCGATCTTCGCCGAAACGTAGACCGTACTGATTGTTAACTGTTACTGGCAATAAAGGAAGGAACTATCAATCTTGGAAAGCTTAACATCAGATATTATAGTAGATGTGTTGTTAGTCTTTCACTTCTTACGACTGGATATGATTCCGGAGAATTTTCCTATAGATGCTGAAAATCAAAAAGAAAAACCACAATAACTTTAGCAGTAACCAGTTAGCAGCAAAAATCCTGAACAAATGCAAAAAAAAACTGTCCCAACATTTTTGCATTTAGAAAAAGTTTTAATAACATAGTAGCTTGTTAATCCTATGAAATCTCAACTGATATGCTTATGATACATATGCACGAATTCTCAGTTATTAATCAGGTATTTGATGTACATTTGGTGTTGAATTCATAATCGCAGGACGGAGAGTGATTTTGGAATTCATTGTGGATTCTCTATGGTAAAAGCGTACTCTGACGCATTACAAGCGGGGGGGGGGGGGGGGATGAAAATAATTCAAATCTTAAATGTACCAACCTGGTGGCTTTGTCGTGGATACGGGTTTTGTTGCATTGGTTGTGCTTTTAGCAGTTGTTAGAATCGAGGCAGATGTACTGCTCCGCGCAGTGGGACTATTCGTGAGATTAGCTGTCGATGCATGAATCGTAGTAGTCGCTGTGCTGGCTCTCGTGGTTGTTTTAGTAGTCGAAGTCTTCTTTGAGCTTGAGGGGCTGTTCGTAGTTATTTCGCTCCCAGCAGTCGTTGTACTTTTCACAGTAGTAGTACTTATTCCTCTATCTGAAAAGAGAAACTATGGCTACTGACAATTGGAATTTATTCAGTATTTCTGTTAAAGTTTTTAGTATCACATTTTTTGTGCAATCAAGTAATTGTATAAAGGTTTTGGTAGAAAAGTGATAACCCACTGGATTAGCACAAATTTTTTGCATCTGCAATATGTACTACCAAAACACGCTTAGAAAACAATCTTGGGCCTTTTCTTACAAAGACAATTTTGTTGATTCGAGAAAGAAGTGCCTTTCGTGAGTTACTCAATCGGAAAGTTAACTTTCCATCACCTGAAGACTGCGTCGTCGCAAAGCTTGGTAGATCTGTCGTGTAAATCCCTGAATAGCTATGGATGAAATTAATAGGGTATTAATCAAATCTTTAAACTAGCAGTTTTTCGATTTTTAACAGTAACTAGATAAAGTTTCTCTAAATTTATGCAAAGGAAATAAAATCAGAGGTAGCTTAAATGAAACATGTTCATCTCTAACAATTCAGCGTCTGTTCCATGAGGTGCCCTTGTGAGCAGCCCGTCTCTGCAGAATTATTAAAAAAATATCTCATTGTGTATTGACAGTAAAAAACACACTTTTGTAAGCATTATCCCAATAAGAGTGGGGCCACATAGAACAATAATTTGACAAAAGCAAGATGTCAGAATTCCGGTAAAACTGCGGCTTCAGAATTCTTCCTAACGAAACTCCAATTGATGGTAAGGCAAACTGAAGCGAGCAAGCAAGCAAGTTGAGGTTTCTTTTTCTGAGGTTTCTTTTTGCTTTACTCGTCACCCAAACCTGGGCGATGACTAGAAGTATAAACGTAATTTAGATAAAATTAATTTTACCAAACCACTGTCTTCAAAATTAGAACGGATTCAAGAGCCAAAGAGAAGATAATTTATTCGGTTGAGTTTTTGTACCTCTCGAAATTAGAAAATTTGAGAGTTCAATGCTGTTTTGGAGGCATGCCAACTCATAGAAGAGGAATTCAAAATTTCCATCAACAATTTACCATGATCTTTCAATAACTGAAATCGTTACAAACCAAACTAACCTGACGTTTGCGTTGTTGCTGCGTCAGAAGTTTCTGTGGAAGCGCTCAAAAACAGTTAAAATTTGAAACATATATTGCAGTAACATTTACCCTCTTTTTTATGCTGAACTGCCAGAACTATGCAGATGATGATTGAAATTACTATTGTAACTGCAACAAAGATAACGGTAACCGTAAGCAATATACATAGCAATTTTCCAAATCTCTGCCGCGTTTCTTCTAAAAAAAAACACAGCGGAACATAAGCTACAAAAAATTAGTGCACTTACCTACAAAATCTGCTATTCCAAAATGTACGTAGTCCAAGAAGTCTACAAATCTAACATAGCGATTTAATAATGAAGTAGGTAGTGAAGATTTTCGAACCATTGCTGAATATGTGCTGGAAAAAATAGGATAAAATTTGCATTTTTCCAGTGAATGATAATTGATGATGGCGAAATTTCGGAGCGCATAGCCGGTGATTGGAAAAGTTTAAAAAATCGTGAAATATTATTGTAGACGCGCTTTTTGTACCGTAGTGTAACTAGAAAAAGTACTACGGGAAGTCTTTTTAGCATTTTGCTCTTTCTCACAAAGAGGAGGTTGATTCGTTTTTGGGCTTATTAGTATATGGCACTACCCTTGGATAAGCTCTGTAAAATAGAAACTTCAAAAACACAGGCAAAAAAAATTATTCATCTATCATGCATGATTTCTGCTTTGTTTGATCATCCCATGTATATTAAATACACAAGAGCCTACCAAAGTTGAAGCGGACAATTTCGGGCTACTGTAAAATATTAGAGAACTTTTTATGATATATCATTGCAAAAAAAGATCAGTGTCAATGTTTATTTCATTCCATTTGTTCAGTGGGACAGCTATTATCAGGAAGAATCGATATGTAAGAAAAACAATTAACAAAAATTCTTGGACAACGAGAAGTCAACAATTTGGACTTGATTTGAGTAAAAGTCCGATGTAAAGAATAGGTACATACGCGTTACATCAATCTTTTCATGTGCAAAAATCTCTGGGAAATTGCCATACCAGATCTGCCCGCGGATGGTGTTATCTTTGACTAAGAAAGGCGAGGAAAAAATGACAAGCGAGCTGATAGCAGAAGCCAGAAAACCGTAATTTGAGGTTTACTATAAGTAAAACGCGAAAAAAAATGAGAACGTATGCGGCAAACCTTTTGAAGCGTTTCTTATGAAAGAGTTTTTTGACTATGATGCTTCTAAAACTGCACTCCAAACTATGTACATAGGACTCCAAAAACAAGAAAATAGAAATTGAGTTCATAGAAAAGCTTCTCAAACTTTGCACGCATCGGCTATGTAAGCACACCTTACGAGTACCTTGATCAATTAGCAAGAGGTTATCGCTCCTTGACTACTCTCACGTGCATTTTTAGATAAAATGATGCTTATCTAATTATTTTGTCTTTTAAAGCTATTTTACGAGCCTCTGCATACAAATAATGAACTTAACAAATTTTTGATCTAGCATTATTAATAATAATTACTTGCTGTTTTCGCAGACAAGCGTTACATGTGCTCAGTTTTGATTTGATGGAAATTCAAAAGCGATTGAACAGGAGAGTCAGAAACATAGGATTTGACCCTGAAATCCCTTTTTACAAAAATTCACTATAACTTAGCGAAGGGCGGCCTAAATCTGCTCGTACGAGTGTTTGTGAAGAGATGGGTTTAGGTACGCATGCAAAAAAAAGTAAGCAGTAAATACTAAATGATTACGTTACAATAAAATTTATATTTCATTTCGAAAACTATGTCTTTCCAATTTGCACTTTGTCAATGAATTATTATCATTGTTATAAGTTAGTTGCAATACTCCATCTTCTTTGAAAAATCGAGTAGCTGCCCAGCTTGTGGACCATCCAGAGTATTTGCTAATTTTCAGTGTTTAATGAGAAGACTAAAAAGTGATATGGCATACAACATGTACAAAAACAAGAGCAGTGCAGACGAGATCAATGAGACTTAATCACGACAAACGACCTACCGGTGGGTCGTAAGATTGCTGAAGCTTTAGCTTTGCCAGTATGTGATGGGATTCTATGGGGTTCTGACACATGATTGGGGACACCTTGGTGAAGCTTCAGCTAGAGCGGCCCGAGATCGGGATACTGTAAAGTAGTGTTACGTAGGTATACCGTAGATAGAGGTAAGACACAAACTTTAGTTGAGTTTTTCGCAAAGTGGTGGTGTTTTTGAAAATTTAGGTTACGTGCACGAGAAATAATGGAGTGCACGAGACTGATGTCAGCACATCGAAATCATCGATTTTATTGATTTTATTGATTTCTCGCATTGTTCATTCCAGAAAGCTCAAATTTTACATATATAGTTTTTTTAGCATACTGATTACGAAACTAATAGTCTCAAGTTCTAATACCGCCTTCTTACATCAGTTTCTTGATTCTTATGATAATTCTACCGTACTGCTACCGTAGTCCCACCGTGGGAAATAGTCAACAAAGTGAACACTATAACCGTGATCAGCACCCCAAGATACAGTTTTTCATGAAAATTCATGCTGGGCTCCTACAGAATGACCGTAACCTTACCGTATGCTGCCAAAAACTGAAATAAATCATATCGTGGTAATCAGCGCCCTCGTTAACCCTTGTGGGAGAATTCTCGGAGACATGTATAAAGTTTCTCCAAAAAGACTATCGTTTTGGACAGTACGACCCACGAGTGGGTCGTAAATTTGACAAAGGAAAAAGGCTCTGGTCCGAAACGGCAGTAATCGAAAAATCGACCTTGTCGTGAGTGTGTTAAGATAGAACTATTTTACGTGAGAATCGCCAAAAAAACTGCATTCACATTGAGGCATACATCATTTTCATTGACACTACTTATCTGCAAGGAATGCTGAAAAAACTCATGGAGGCAAAGATAAGACGATGAGTACCTAAGTTTTTGGATTTTCATGATGACATGTTTGAAATGAATAAAACGATCAGAAGATGTTGTTTGCCATAAGTGACTTTCCTCGAGTGTCAAAATTACGCAAAAGTATTTTATTGCATTGCTTTTTTTTCTTGCAAAAAGCCTTGGAAATGTGCCTGATAAGGGATGGATACTTGGTCGAAGTGGCATTTCCATACAAAATGTAAACTGTTCTATGGAGCATGGAACGCTGAGTTCAAGCCTACTTTCGGTATCTGCAAAGCACTATTGAGAGGGGAGTTATGGAAATTTTTTGATGCAAAAATTTGAAAGCGCCCCTAATAAAACATTCGGAACCTTAGTCCGTTAGTTCGAATGAGGGCATGATTACTACCAGGGCGTTTTATGGAATAGGGCCTTCAATCTAACAAACTCATGTCAGTCATTACTCTTTTCAAGCGCCGAAAAGACCTCAACACCTACTTTATGTTAGCCAAATCGTTGAATATCCAAATCAAAAATCCCATAACTTTCCTCCCAGAAGCGCTTTGCAGATACCGAAAGCAGATCTGGAATCAGCGTTTAATGTTTTATAAACTAATGTGCATCACATATGGAAACGCCGTTAACCAAGTATCCTTTCCCTGTGAGAGTTAAAATGCACACCTAATGGCACTCTAAGCAGAAAAAAATTAAATGCAGAAAACTCAGTCAATAGGATGTGGGGGTCTACAGAATTTCGTGCAGAGCAATTTAAAAAAATAACAGGTTACATGCCTACTTCCTAATATTGAATTGTATTGAAAATTATTTGAAAAATTATCTATAAAAAATAAAGTCCGTTTTGCACAGTTTTACTTTGAAAAGCAATGACTTTGTTCAGTTTTCATATTTTTCAAATGCAATCAAGACCATCAAAAGCTGATAAACCTTTCGTAACCTAATGCGCACCTGCATATACTGATAACGCAAGAGGGTAGAGAACCATGTGTCAAAAAACCGAAAGTTTTTTTTTTCAGAAAAACCTCTCTTTGAGAGATTAGAGATTACAACTCCCTTAAGTTCTGGTCTTATGGCGCTAATCAGCTTGTTTTGTAGAGCAAGCTAGCAGTACACGCTTGTACAGAAGGAACCTCAGCGAAGAGGGCCTGCGAAAAGAAAAGATTTTAAAAATTTATTCAAACATGCGCTAAATAAACAATATTCATTCCATATAGTTGACTTTTTAAAGAGTTCGCTTATTCGGGCCGAATTACGGTCAAGGCAGTTGAAGCAACGAACTTTCGATTTTGAGTGCAGCTGTGTGAAATTCTGATGATATTCTCACAGACGAGATAGAAGTTTATTTCACCACTGTTAGAAAGCACACAAAGAATGCTCTCCAACGATATGCAAACTCTACCTCGGAAAAGAATGAAGGAAAATAGTTGTTCGGAAAGTAGGCCTAAAGTAGGCCGACATTATTTTTGTAACACTCTAATACAATACATGCACTTTTTCTGTTAAATCATCAAAAGTTTTGCTATAAGAAAGTAGCAACTTACATCATAGTTTTGCAATAAATAACTTTGCTCTGCTATCTCTTTCCAAAACATACTTCATGTCCATGTGTCACGGTTACATCCTGAAGTGAAGTCACTTGATGGTGACTCAAAGTGTTTGCGCAGTTTGGATATTTTTATTAGTATTTGAGGAGAAGCCATGGTTAGCTGACTCAGTATCGATTGTTAAAAATGTTCACGTCCCTGCTTTTACAAAAAAAGCTTACTTTTTCCTTCTTTGCTCAATGGTCTTTTGTACCTGCAATATCAGTGTGCCACATCTAGAGTTAAACCAAAGCAGAGGATCGACTAAATCCAGAATAAAAGACGAGGTAGTTGTCGCCATAGCTGATTAAAGCAGTCAAAAATTTGAACCATTCTAGGGTATCCGCAAAATTATGAAGTGCTAGATAGAATCAGTGAAGATGTAATCTGCTATTCACTTTGGAGACTCTTGATCAAATTTCAAACAATGTATTTCAAAGCCCAGAGTCTTACTTCGAAAATGTAACGATTGTAAGATTCACATAATGGTCTTAAAAAGCAAAAGTCGACTTTTTGCGCTTCTAGTTTGGTGAGCAACTGAATCTGTATGAACAAGAACACTATATGCTTGAAATGTAGGAGGGTATCCGATTAAGAGAAATCGGATTTGGTTGTGATTATTTGAAAGATATTTTGTCTTCAAGCACGCAGGACACCAAGCACCTCTCAATAAAATGTTGGCTCGTAGTACATAGTAAACTGTCCTTCATCTCAATTGACTGAGATAAGTAATTCAGACGAGCTTTTTAGGATAGACCTAAGAACGTCCACTCTTGCTTTGAAACAGTCAGATGAACAGTCAGAAGACCAGTCTGGTCAAGTGCCAGAATAAACGAATATTTGATGAATGACTGAGTAATTTACGGGACAATCTCGTAGACATTCTTGCGGTAC